TTTGGTCCTCAAAGTAGTTTGTGAGATAAGCAGTGTCATCCCATTTTACAAAGGGAGAAAGTAAGCCCTAGAGAGGTGAAGTGATTTGCTGGGGAGACAGCTCATGAATGGCACAGGGAACAGGGAAGCCAGGGGTCTGTGAGGACCCACTGCCCCATGAGACTGTGGCATTTACCCTGAGGGACTGTCCATGGAGGCGAGAGGCCACTGGCCTGGACCCTGGAGGTGGGGACATGAGCCCTTTACCCTGGGGCCAGCCTGGCCCTGTCTCTGCAGAGCCTCGAATCTCCTTCTCTCCTCAGCATGCCTTGGACTTCAGGGAGAGCAAGGAGGCCGAGCCCCACCCACTGTGGGAGTACCCGTGCCGCAGCCTCTCCGACCCGCAGCAGATCCTGGCCTTTGACTTTCGTCAGCCAGTCCCCCCGCAGCCTGTCCGTGCTGAGGGCTCCATCGAGCTGACGAGGTGAGTGTTGGCTCCTGGGTGGCAGTGTTGGAAGGAAATAAGGAGGTGGGGAGTGCCTGCTTTCTGTCTAGCAGTTACTGCCCATGTGGCTAACCACTTGGCCTTCCTCGTCGCAGCCTTGCCCTTCTTGGTCTAAAGTGGCCCTGAGTGTGTAGAGGGTCCCCACAGCCTCTGGGTAGGAGGCAGTGCCAAAGTGATCTTTGCTTTTCCCTCTGCATATCAGTCTCCCTTTGAGCTAACAGCATGTTGGATCACAGCTGCAGAGAAATGTGAATTTGGTTGCTATGGTTACCCATTGGACCATTTTTCTCCTGGGAACTAAAGCAGGTTAGGAATTGGTGAGGGCACTCATTGTGAGGCATGGCCAGGCCCACCCAGCCCAGCTCCCTGCATGGGAGGAGCTGCTGCTCCCAGAGGAAGAGCCCCCTGGATGCAGCCCTGAGCCCAGGGCCCTTTGGGGCTCCTCTGACGAGGGGAGGCAGGCAGAGACCATCTGGCCTGCCATCCAGGGTATCAGGAGGGTTCTTCCAGCACGCGGTGCCAGGGCTGTGCTCTGAGCCCTGGACCGAGCCTTTCTGTGACCGCAGGCTAAGGAGGCTGGTCCTGGGTCTGCCCTGCCCTGCCCCGCCCCGGGCTTACCTGAATACGTGGCCAGGCTGTGAGGAGTGAGGGACGCTTTGAGTTGTAGCTTTCTCGTTCAGCATTTTACTGAGTGGCTTTTAGGCAGAGTGTCAAGAGCCTCCTGACTGGGCAGGTGGGAGTGGGGAAGAGCAGAGGTTTCTGGAAAGCAGAGGGGAGCCATGGCCATGCTCACCCATCCCTTGTGGTGCTGTTTCTGTTTGACCAAATATCCCCCTCCCCCAGGCCTGGGAGGAGCCACGGGGCTGTCCTGTGGATGGAATACCACCTGACCCCGGACAGCACCATCAGCACCGGCCTGCTGAAGCCCGCAGAGGACAAGGTACCGCTGTGCACCTGGGCCCAGAGCGGCCGACCCTGAGAGCCGGTGCTGTTGGGGGGGCCACACCGCCATGGTGCTCTGGGTGTTCCTGGGACACGGTCAGCCAGATGGGAACCTGGTCTGAGCAGAAGCTTCCCGCCTCGAGCTTTTAGCAGGGGAGGCTGGCCAGAAGAGGGCTTAGCTGCCGACCACCCTCACCGCCGTCTGCTTCTCCCGCTGCAGGGATACTGTTGCTGGAACCCACACTGCAAGCAGGCCGTGTACTTCTTCAGCACCATGCTGGACCCCAGAGCGCCTCTGGGAGGCCCGCAGACAGTCAGCTACACGGTGGAGTTCCAGCCCCTCACTGGAGATGTCTCTATGGATTTCACACTCACAGATACCCTGGGTGATGGGCATGGACTGACCCTCCTTTAAGAAATAAAGTGGCCACAGAAGCTCCGGGCTCTGAATGGTGTGGCTTTCTGGGAAGGAAGTTGAAGGTGCCTCTCCTTTCAGGCCCCAGCTCAATTTCTGTGTATGGAGACCTCTCCCCCTTTTTCATTTCACACTGCTGGCTGCTCGCGCCAGGTGTGCCAGGCAGCATGGGCTGCTGGCTGGTTTGAAGCCGGGAGGGGGCAGAGAGCCCACTCTCAGTGGTTCTGATGTGCTCAGAGAGCTCTACGGCTTCAGAACCACTTCTGGGCCTCATGTGCTGAGGCGGCTGGCTGCCCGTGGTGGTCACCAGCCTGGCCAGTGCCCTGGGACTTCTGCCTGGCTCTGGCTAGCAGGAGCTCCCAGGGGCCGAGATGCTGACTCATGGCTGGGCTGAGGACCGGGCTCTGGCCCTTTCACTCGATCGGTAATGTCACCAAGCCTCTGGCTTTAGTGTGCAGCACCAGCAGGTGACCAAACCTGACCACGGACACCAGGCTGCTGTTCAGAAGACAGGGAGGAGGCTGTTCCCAAGCAGTTCCTGAGACGCAGAACCAGGAAGCCAGCCGCCAGGAGAGGGCGCCAGGAGGTACCACCCTTTCCCCGTGCCCCCCTTTTACAGAAGGACCTCACATCACCTCCGAAGCCTGGGCAGATGAGTACACTGCTTCTCCCCCTGACCCTCAAAATGCCCTTTTGCTGTTTACCACCTGCCCCAGCTTGGGTCCGGCCCCAGCTTGTTGCTCAAATAAGTGAAGAACACCAGCCTTGAGCCTCACAGTTTTATTTTCTCCTTGTGATCCATCCTTCCTTTCAGCACCAGTAAAGGAGAAAAACACCTCTCTTTTCAAAATATTTTATCAGGTGAAAGATTGTTTTTCTTCTAGGGAAGAATCGTCTGGATATATATTTGATTATGTTTTTACCAAAACCTTAGGTGTGCTTACCATATAAAACCCCTAATGTCCCATGAGGATACAATACAGAAAAAAATACAGAAATTAAAAAAGTCTTTTTTAAAACAGTATTTCTAAATCTCAGCAAGTTAATACAATAGTTAAAAAGCATCAAGATTAATATTCATACTTAAAACTTAAGGTGGTTTGGACAAATGAAATGACCATTTCCTTCCCAAGCTGACCCTGCCTCCTGGCTTCTCTGGAGGAGGCTGGGTCCCGGGCAGGTGCGGGACCTTGATTGGGGATTTGGGTAACCCCTCTGTCTACCCCCCCCCCCCAGGCCAAACACACAGAATATGAGATCCTGGCAATGATTCTTTTCTTTTTAAAAATTAAAATGGCAAAGTCTGGCTTGTGCACGGCCCCTGGAGTCCACAGGCTTCAAGAAACGTGTGGTTGGGTGATGGCGGCCTCGGTACTGAGGAGTTGCTAGGGGAGCTGGGAGGTGGTACACCAGGGCCGGCTGTAGAGGCGACCTTGTTAGGACAGGAAGTGACTGAGGCACAGGGAGGTATGACTTGCCTAAGGCCGCCCTGTGAGAAGAGAGAAGCATGTGCCCCTGCACAGTGGCCCCCATCCAGCTGCCCTGGAGGGAGGCAGCCCCCGAGGGCTGGGCGCCATGAGGTTTCTCTGCTTCAGGAGCCCTCGCCTGTCTCCCCTGCGCTCCTGGCTACTCTGCCAAGCTGCAGCCCGGGGTCCTTGGCTCAGCCCCACCACCTAGGCATTGTGCCTGCCCAGTGGGACCCTCCCTGTGTGAGTAGATTCCTGGACACTCCTGGGAGTAGGGGCACCGCAGAGCTCAGGTGGGACTGTGTCCTCAGCGGCGAGGAGCCCCTCGTGGCTCTGGACCCCAGGGGCAGGGCTGGGAAGTATTGAAGCCCTCAGCTCTGCCACTGCCTTGGCCAGGTGGGTATATAGCTTGTCCTCTCCCAGCACAGGACCTGACCTCTTGCAGCTCAATGGGAGACAAGGCACAGTGTCGGCGCACCGACACCAGAGGGTCTTAGTATGCTCCCCAGCCCTGCTGGGCAAAGCTGGCTTCAAGCTAGGTGGGCACAGGTCAGCGTGCTGTGAGAAGGGGAGACAAGTGGGGGTTGTCAAGAACAGTCCCCTGAGCCAGGGTAGCTTCACACTGGAAATGGACACAGCTTCTCTGTGTGACTGTAGGGAGCGTCGCCAGGTGTTCATAAAGGCAGGTGGGCGGAGGCAGTGCTGCCATGCGGTGATGGGCTGCAGGCCTCACCTATAGGCTTTGCCACGCCCAGTGCCTGGGTGCCCGGGGCTGGCCCTGGGCACCTAGTGGCAGAGTGGGCATCTATGTGCCTAGATGCCAACCAGTACCACTCCTCGTCCTGTGCAAGCAGTGGCCCCTGACCTTGCCACCTGCAGCGTGCACACTGGTGGGGGGGGCGGGCAGGTCGTCCTCTGCACGAGGGCCCCAGGGTCACTTGGAGGGGGGGTCTGAGGGACAGAGCTGCCGCCCTCCCCAGAGGCAGGCGGGCAGTTCCTGAGCTCCTCCAGCATATGGAGGAGGACAGTCCCAGGGGAGGATTGGTCCCAAACCAGCAGAGTGTCTGGAGGAGAGACGGGATCAGGCAGAAAGAGGAGGTGTTGGTTTTGGCAGAAGAGAAGCTATACATTTACGGTTTTCAAAATCAGCAGCCCCCTTTCCACTGTGTCGGGAGCTCCCTTCTCCCTGTAGAATGGTGCTCTCCTCAGCCTCCGGCTTCCTCTGAGAACGGGTCCCAGGCCAGGAGGGGCGCCGGTCTCGGGAAGAGCAGCGTTCTCCCTTGCAGTTTGCAGACCTTCTAACGTGAAGGGTTGTTCCTGGGCTTGATTCTTCCTGTTTTTTTTTTTTTTTTTTTTTTTTTTTTTTTTTTTTTTTTTTTTTAATGTAATCGCCCTTGAATGCAAGACCCTGGGAAGAGCCCGGGCTTTGTGGTGACTGGACACAGCCCTCACGTCCCTGCTCAGGAGCCGACCCAGCTGCAGGCAGCGCGCGGGCGGCCCTGTGCCCAGGAATGCTTCTTTGGCTGACTCTGATTGTGTTTGGAGTTTGGCCTTGGGTGAGGCCTGAGCAAGGGGTCTGAGTGACTGTGGTGTGGCACATGACATGCGGGCAGCGAGCGTGCATGCGAGGGTGCGGGCATGCGAGACAACATGGCAGCAGACAGAAAATAATGAAACCCTGGACGAAGCTTGAGAAAAGATACAAAGAGTACAGAAACCCGGTTCTCATACTAACCCACGGGTTACAAACTAGGTTGTGCTGTAGATTTGTAGAAAATCACGTTTTGAAAGAATGGCACTGGTTGGGTAGCTAGGGCTCCTCGAGCTGACCTGACTCCTGTTTGCAGCTGGTGCCCCAGAGGTGCAGGGCAGCGCTGGTTGCAGCTCCCCCAGGGATGACCTCGGCTCCCCCAGCCCCTGCCCTCTCCCTGGCACTGCTGCCGGAGGGGACACGGCCAGAAAGGGGCTTTGGCTCAAAGGACTAGCAGAGGCCAGGCTGCTGTGATGACTTGGCTGGTCTATGCCTCCTCATCCCCCGTAGACACCATCAGCCGCATGGCCACCGGGAGGTGGTCGGTCAGGCCGGACAGCTGAGTGATGAAACTGAACTCTTCCACCTCCTGGAGTTGGGGGAAGAGAAGCATCCTGATTAGACGCAAAGGACGCCATGCAGAGGCCAGGGTGGGTTCTGGGCTGGGGCTGGCGGGTCTTCCTAAGGGCAGAGGGGTGGGAGGATTCCCAGGGCCCCAAAGGTCTCTTGGGCTGGCAGGTCTCACTTTCAGAGGTACAGGGCTCAGGGTCCCCTCCCTCTGGGCATGGCCTGGCTGCCCGACCCCAGACTCACAGCCTTCCAGTCCGGGCACAGCCCCTCCTCTGCGTACAGCATGTAGTCGATGCGCCTGCCGTTGCCCTTCAGCACATCCTTGCGTCCCTTCTGGCCCGCCCCCGAGGTCTTGCTGATGGGGAAGGCGAGGTACTCCCGGCGTCCCTCCTCGCTCTCCAAGACCCTGCGCGTGCAAACAGGAGGCAAGCTGAGCCCCCGCCCCCGCCCAGGCCCCAAGTCCTGAGTGCGGAGCCAGGTTCTCATCCCGAGAGAGGCAGGTCAGACCACACTCCTGTGCTAACAGCTTTCTTCCTTGTGGGCACCAAAAAGGATGGGGGAGAGGGGGGCGGAAACTGAGTCTGAGGCTGCACGTTCCTGACAAACCATCCCGGGATGCCCCATGTCTTCCTCGGGCTGGCCGGCACTCGCTTGCTCTTTCTGAACTGGGAGTTTGGCTGTGGCTACAGCTTGGACCCTGTGCAGCCCAGAGACTGTACCCGAGTCGGGGACAGAACTGCCTGTCCCCTTCTGCATATCAGGGTTCTGCTCTGAGCCAGCAGGGTCCCCTTTGGGGGAACTTGGTCTTTACAGCGAACCTCAGGGACCCTTCTCAGGAAGACCTCAGCACCCCATGACTTGTTTCAGGTTCAGGGGGTAGCAGGTAGCCAGGAAAGCACCCAGGCCCCATCCCAGGACTGGACTCTAGTGTCAGTCTGTCCCTGAGCAGCTGTGCCAAACCTCGGAGCTTCCATTTCCTCTGATACAAGAATGATTGCTGTGGGCCCCGGGACCAGGGGACCAGGAGTGCCAAGAAAGTAATAACGGGATGTGACTATCCTCCTGTTCCTCAGAGGAAGGAAAATGACATGGGTGCTTAAGTGCTAGCCGAGGTTCTCCAGGGAGACCAGGATGCTCCGGTGGGGTGTTAACACCCTGAATCCAGGCCTCCTGACTCCCTGTCTGCCATCTGTCCCGCCAGGTTTCCTGTGGAGTCTGAGCACCCGTGGGGAGGAGCCTTCCTGGGAAGCTGTCTCAGAGGCAGGTGCAGGCCGATGCCAGGGGCAGAGTGGCGGCCACTTAGAGGCCCTGGGTGGGTAGAAGGGGCACCTGGACAGGCACAGCCAGCAAACATGGGTTTCTATAAGGTCGTTATCAGCATTGAGATAATAATACTAATGGCTGCAGAACATTGGTACCTCTCAGAAATATAACCCATTACTGTCCTTTGCTTTTGGTAATTAATTCCAGCATCAGTGATCTGCGAATTACTGATAGTCATTTTTTTAATCATCAGCTCATAAAAAGATAATTTTCTCGGCATAGGATGATGTTTCAAATTTAGTCTGTAATCTAATTAATTGGCTCAAATTAGCTGCAAGGAGCCATTGCCGTGACTGTGCAGTCTCGGGCTGTAAATTATAAATTGGTTCTGCCGCTGGCTTCTCGAACGTGTCCTTTGTGGATGTGTCATTGGGTTCAAGAATGAAGCTTGGTTGCAATGGAGCCGTCTCTACTTTGAAAATAACTGGCTCACTCGTGCGTTAGCTTTGCTTGTATTTTTATTTGCCTAATCGGCGGCGAACAGTTGCTGGGCTCCCTGGAGCAGGTGTCATCCCCGTGGATGACATGGCTTTTTGGCAGCCGTGAGTCTTGCCCTGGAAAATTCTGGTCCCTTTTCCTGTGCTTGGCAGGGCCCCCAGTCAGGCTCCCAAGGCAGACAGGGGTTGGGATTGGGCTGGCTCTTGTAGAGTGAGCCAGGATTGCAGGTGTAGAAAACACCGCCTCAGGACCCCACGCCTACTTTGGGGCTTCTCCGTAAGGCCTCCAGGGCCTCCACCTGCCCCAGCTCTGTCCTTGAGGCTCTCAGGGGCTTCCTTCTCTCCCCTGCCCTGATTATAGCCATCTCCCCACAGCTGAGTCAGGGCTGAGTGCTCAGCCCAGAACCCGGTGCGCCTGGCCCCACCACCGCGGGGCGCTTACTTTTGTAGGTTTTCAGGGGAGCTCACATCCTCATCGTTTATGCCATCCTGGTCCAGCATGGTACCTGGGGACAAGGGGTGAGAGCTGTCACTGCAGGTAGGAGCCAGCCAGCCTCCAGGAGGCATCTGCCGGCCCGGGTGTCCCAAATCCCCCAGCACCAGGGTCTTGGGAGCAAGTCCTGGAGGTCCCTCTAGGAAGCACGTGGAGAGCCCGGGCTTGGTGCAGTGTCAGGTCTCAGCATGGTGGGCTCAGAACCTGGCGGTGCTCCTCGCCTGCCCCAGTTCCCCTCTATCCACATTGCCTGCCCCCAGCGCCAGCTCACCGATTGCCCATGGCTTCTCCTCGCCAGGCCCCAGGCGGCAGGGGTCCTTGTAGCGTGTAAACAGGGAGTGCTGCTGCTCCAACTTGTCGTCTGCAGGGAGTGAGAGAGGCAGGCTCAGAGAGGGAGGTGACCCACCCTGCGTCCAGTTTGTCCTGCTAACTCGTGAAGCTAGAGGGCAGGTCACTGAGTGGACCTGATTGGATGAAACTCCTCCTGACAGCCTCTTCCTATATGTGCTGGGTCCCCACCCTCACTCAGGGGGATCTGAGGAGCACCCAGCGTTCGGAGCTGGTGTCAGGCATGTGACAAATGAGGGGCCCCAGGGCTGCAGTAGGGGGCATGTTACATGGTGGGTACCTTTCGTGTCACAAACCTTTGAGTTGCCACCCTTGGGATGCCTTCCTGGCCGTGAAGAAACAGCCGTCAGCAAGTGAAGGCACTACCCTGTGCACCCTGAGGGTTAGGGCCATGCCGCCCGCCCACCCTCCATTTCTGCTAAGGCTCTGGCCAGAGTGCAAGGAGCTCGGGAGCCCAGGCTTGGGGGAAGCTCAGAGCCGCCCCAGTTCCCAGGAGGTCCCTGGGATGAGCACGGTCATCAGACTCACAGATCAGATATTTAAATCAATTGTTTAACATTTCACCCATGATGAACTTTGAGTCTCATGGTTTAAGGCATGATTTTCAGGGTTCAATTCCCAGTCCCACAACTTCACTGGCTGAGTAACCTTGGACTAGTTACTCCACCTCTCGAGGTCTCAGCTTCCTCTTCCATACCATATGGATGACTACAGTGCCCACTCTTGGGGTGGTTAATGAGACTTAAATGGCACAGTTGGCCCATGACCAACCATTAGAATTATGCCTGTATGCAAAGTAAGGGCTGAATAAAGACTCGGTGAGTGTATTAGCTGACTTGTCCTTAAGTCTGAATTTCGGAGACTCCAAGCCTTCCCTTCACAGGTTCATTGTTAGGGCAACCTTGTCTCCAGCAAGGAGGCTTCTGAGCTTTCGAGGCAGAGTGTGGGTGCTTCTCATTCCAGGATTTCTAGGGGGCAGAGACATCGTAGTCTTGCTAACATCCCACCCACATGCTCACAAGGAGCAGGAAGCTCTTTGAGCTGCCTGTGTTGCTCGCTGTGACTGGAACCCCCACTCTCCCCCAGTAGCCAACCTGAATAAGGGGGGGACCCAGCCTCACCGGAGGAGCAGTTGTCAAAGTTCAGATCTCCACAGACGACGTCAAACGCCACCAGCTCCTCGGGGTTGGCTGTGCTGGACGAGGAGGTAGATTTTCGGAAATCAGCCAGCCATTCCAGAAGCATGTCCAGCTGCTCGCACCGGACGGCGCTGTCTTCTACGGAGCAGAACCACAGAGACCGCGGGGATGACGAAGCTGCAGCCAGGCCCCAGCCAGGCCCCCGGGAAAGACCCTCCACCCCCAACAAGTTTGGGCCGCCAGACCCTACCTTCCGGGGCGTGCAGGTGTGTACAGGTGATGTACCCGACAATTCTTTGGTCCTGAGGTGTGCTTCCCACCTGCACCTGTGGAGGAGGAGGCGAGGTGTCGGTGGGGGAGTCTTAAGTAGTCATTGCTCCGAGCACAAAAGGGCACTGACAACACTGCCCCCCAACGAGGTGAGATCCTTACGGGCCCAGCTCTGTTGGCTTCTGGCTAGACTTGGGCCCAGGTAGGAACAGCATGTGTCCTGTTTCCAGAATCTCCTGGTTAAGTGCGTGAGGCAGATGCATAAAGAAATGGCAGCTCCACTCTCCCCAGACCTCAGTCCACGCCTCCTGTTCATTCCCCTTCACGAGTTGGAGTACCCAGGGGAGGCGTAAGACCGGCAGCACTTCCCCGACTCTGTGCCCAACCGCAGATGACCCTGGCAGGCTGAGCACAGGTTGGCGTAACGATAACAGCATCTCAGTGTACAGCACAACTCGAAATGGCCCCCGTGGTGACCTGCTACAAGCCTGAGCCCTTGTTGGGAGCTGTGGGGAGAGGTGAGGGGCGGTCTTCCCCAGAGCTCAGCTGCTCAAGGCTGGAACGGGTGAGACCCTCCCAGGCCTGCTCCCCAGGACCATCTGTGGGCACCTTTGCTCCAAGGCCTCTGGTTGACTCAGGCTCTTCCTCTCTGGCCTTCTTCTGGCCTGAGCTTCTGCTGTCTGTCCCCAAAGTTCACCCATCTGTTCTTGATTGGGTTTTCAATGATGACAAGACCCTGGGCCCTAGAAACTGTCCCAGGAAGGTGACCATAGAAGCCAGGTCTGCAGGTCATGTAGCAGCCGGATGGTTGCACCTGGCATCCACCAAGAACAGTCCTGCCCATCCTGCAGCTAAGAGTGGCCTGAACTTGCTGCTACCACCACCACGCCTCAGTCCTCTGAGAGTCTCCAACGCTCGCATCTCTGCTGTCAAAGTCAGGTTGGCATTAATCTCCATATGGACTTAGGTGCCATCGCACACCCTTAGCTTTTTGCAGCTCCTCATCCCCTTTCCCAGCCAGATGGAGACACACCTTTTCCCAGTGCCTGGGGCGGGGGGTGGGGGGGGTGGGGGGAGAGAAGAAATATGTCTGTTTACTTGATAATGGGCCATACGGCCTGGGTTTGAAGCTTTTTATAAATTCAGGTTCACTTGCCTGTATTCCAGAGCCAAGCTTCGGTCTAAAATTCCCTGCACCTTTGAAACGGCTCAAGAAATCCCTTACCACTGATGTGTCTGTCCCGTTGCAAAAACACAATCCAGTTTTAAAGCCTTGATGCCCCATGTAAGGCCACACGGTGGCGCTCTCGCCCCTATGTTCCTTGGGCAATGACAAGCCTCTTCCCTTTTCAATAATACTGCTGTGAGCACCCCCTGCTTCATGCTTCTACATCTGTGAGGATTATACTAAAATTATGCCCTAACTGGCCAGGGTCACGAGGCTCTGATGGCTGAGCCCAGTTCAAATCAGTTTGCTGCCCCCTCCCAATTTCTCCTTGAGCTCTGCCCTGCTTCCTGAGCTCCTGGTGACTTGGGCTTTTCGCCAGCTGCCCATTCCACGGCCTTAGAGCATTGTCCCCTCACTCCTTCAGCACTTAGTGCATCTGCCTGTGCTGAGTCCTGGGCAGCGACAGGACAGGTGCAGAAAAGGCACCACTCTGCCCTGCCACTGGAGAGACACAGGCCAAGGCCATCTGCCTCTCCCTCAGCCCTTCCACCAGGCACCTCACTCAGCTGCTCACCCCTTTCCCGCTCGGCCAGCCTGTGAGCGCGCTGAGATCCATTTGATTATGTGCCGGGACTTATTGATTTCTGGCTCGAGTCCTCAGGAGCTGCAGAGGCTTGTGTTTCTCTTGCAAAAACAAACAATCACACTGAGAGGCTCTGCCTCTTAGTACTGGTGGGCTCAGACTGTCAATAGAGGGGCACAGAGTCGGGCTCTAATTGGCGAGGCAAAAGCGAGTCCAGTCCCTTCCTTCTCAGGCCCTCACAGTAGCAGGAAAGGATCGGCGGTGCCACAGGGTCCATGGGGAGGGCAGGGTGGACAGGGAGCCCCCCTGCCAATGAAGGGAGCACTGGCTCCACACAGCAGCATTTTCCCAGCTCCGGACCCCTTTCTGGTCCGGCCTGTCTTCTGAAACCCCATTTGTTTCATTTCTCTACACAGGAAAAACAGCCTCACTCTTGGCAACAGCTGTGTGCTGGGCACAGCCGGCTCCCCCACCCCTCTGAAGGGGTCTGTCTAATGGGACGGACAGGCGACAAGACTGCTGGGGACCAACGCGGAGGAACCCATGAGGGGAAGATGGCTCGTGTGGACGCCAGTTGGGAAAGCTCCACAGAGATGGTGAGGACAAGCTGGGCGGGACCATGACAAGGAGAGCTGGGCCGGAGCGGAGCCAGGTTAGGGCAGAGGGCCCAGGGAAGGCGGAGCTTCTCCCCAAGGCAGGAGGAGAGGGGTACTAGGAATCAGACTGGGACAGGAGAGGGGATGCGTTGGAAGTGAGAGGACAGTCCACAACACACTTAGGTGGATATAGAGGAATGGTGGCCATAATGGGGCAGCTGGGGACATGGGCAGGGGCGGTCCACAGGTATCCGGGAAGTGAAATTAGTTGTCTGCATGGATTGGATGGGCCCAGGGCACAGAGAGGAGTCAAGGTGGGAGGAGGATGGTGGAACCTGGGAGATGATGAATTCTCTTTAGGAGAACCAGGGCAGATGATGAATTCTCTTTAGGAGTAAACGGGACTGTGTCCAAGGGCCGCCAGACACAGAGCTGGGGGTGTAGGGGAGAGCTCTGGGCTTAGACAAGCCTGAGACCCCTCAGCGAGGGTGGAGATGGAGGCCGTGGAGCTGCTTTCCTGGGGCAGGTGTGTGGGCTGGTCGTGGTGACCACTTGGGAATGAAGAGCCCTGGTCAGCGGGATCACGCTGTGGAGGGGGGCTGCTTGCGCTGAGAGCTGGGCAGAGGCAGCAGGCCTGCTGCTGCCAGATTTGCTCCAGTGGGGAGGGAAGTTGCAAACTGGGGTTTCTGTGAAATGTCTTAATTTTTAAATGTTGGCCAAGACAAGAAATATTTTAGTGGTGTGAACCAAATTAAACATGTCTACAGACCGGTTTTAGATCCAGGAGGGAGAGAAAGCATTGGCATTTAACGGATGGGCAGGCAACAGGAGCCTAGCAGGAAGCCCGCAGTGGAGGGGCTGTCTCCAGGACTGGCGGCTGTGCTGGGCGTGGTGGTTGAGGTGCCAGACCAAGGAGGGAATGAGGAGGGGATGTGTGGGCAGGGGGCAGGATCGAGGGGTTCCCTGGCCTCTGAACCACCTGAGTAGGGTGGTGGGAGGGAAAGGGTGTGCTCCCCCCTTTCCCTGAGCCTGACAACATGTCCTCTCCGTCCCCAGAAAGCCACTGAGAGGAACACACATCCATGGAACCAAACACGGATGGACCATATGCCACCATGGGAAGGCGGGCTCTCCTGCGAGAGGAGCACATTCAATGTCAGCATCTCAGGCTGTGAACGGAGAGCCGAGGACTCCAACTCTGGGCCTGCTGAGCCACACGAGAGCCACGGAACACATGGAGGGGTGCCTGGGCCCTGGTGCTGGCCCTGGCTCCAGCCGTCTCCATGCAGACAGCCAGCCTGGGCCTCTCTCCCGACAGGAGAGAGGTGCTTGGCTGACACACAGCACTTTCCTGGACAGGCAGAGCAGTCAGAGCTGAGGCCTGGGGATGACAGCCTCCTACCTGGGCTTCCACATTAGCCACACTGGGTCCCCCTCCCTGCCCTCGTGGACCTCCTTCGAGGGGGAACTGAGACGTCTTGAGGGAAATATGGACAGAACCCAGACAGACCCACAGCAGCTGCTGCCGCTGGGGCAGAAAGCCCTGTTCCGTATCCGCTGGCCAAGCCACGCTTCAGAAAACTCGGGAAGCACCAAGCGCGGCTTTTGGACAGAGAACAAGAAGTCGACACTCGGAGTGCGTCAGGCTCAGGAGAAGATAATGCATAATGACCAAATTACCATGGTCTAACATCTCCGCCAATTGCATCCAAATTAGCAGGAATAATTATGATTCACTTTAATTAGTGACTATGGAAGCGAAGCCTTGGGCTGGTGGGCAGAGCCTGGTGTGACAGCCAGGAGGGGAGAGGGTATCCCGGCCAGTGAGGCTGCTGTGCTAATGGAGCCAGAACCTGCAGCCGTTGGTTTCTGCTGGTCTCCCGTCTTGTGAATGTCTGCTTTGTTACAGACGGGAGCCTCTTCCTCCCTCACCACTCCCATCCCATCATTGCCGGGCCACGTTCACCTCCAGCACCAAGAGACACCCCCCCCCCCGGCCCCCGCCACCCACTCCCCCACCCTGTGAGTGGGCTCCACATCGCCCCCCACTTTACAGATGGGGAAGAGGTGGCTTAGACATCCGAGGGACTTGCCCAAGATCAGCCAGCCAGGTCTGTCATCCCGGAGCCTTCTGGTGGCGGTGCGGAAGGTATTGTCCCCACATTCTTCCCTTGTCCCTGAGTTGGGGGCCCTCTGGTTCGGCTCCATGAAAGGATTTGTCTGCCCGTAGACCTTCCACAGGGCGAGGAACCCCCCGGGCTGCAGCCCACCTCCCACATGGCTCTGGGACCAGCCTGCGTGTGCGCCCAGGCCCTCCTCCTACCTTGAGAAACAGCGCTCCCTTCGAGGCCAGGCTGTCGACGCCCTTCCCGTTGGTGTAACAGTGATAGGCGGCGTCCATGACGGGGTAGCGGCTGGCGAAGAAGAGGCCGCTGTTGAAACACTTGAAGCAGCAGTGGGCCTCGCAGCAGCGGCGGCAGCAGCAGCAGCCTTGGCAGCCGTAGACCCCGACGTCGTACACGATGTGCTCGAAGTAGCCGTGCAGCTGGTGTTTCAACTTGGTGGCCGCCCGCTTGTCGAACACCTCCTGCAGACACAGGAAGTCCAGGTTGGCGGGGAAGAAGGCCGAGATCTCGTGGTCGAAGGCCTCGTCCGGGTGCCGCCGCTTGCGGGCGGCCACCTTCTTCACCACCGAGGCCTTGTGCGCCGGGGCCTTGCCGTGCGTGGCGCCCGGCTCCCCGCTGCCGCCGCTGTCCAGCCCGGCGGCGGCGCGCGCCTTCACCAGCGACTCCTTGGAAGCAGAGCGGCTGCCCAGGCTCCCCGAGTCCCCGTCCCGCCGACTGTGGTTGGGCGTCTGGCCCCGCGGGCCCCCCGCGGCAGCCCCGTCCCTGGCCTGGCCCCCCGCGGCGGCGGCGGCGGCGGAAGGGTCGTCGGCCTCGGGGTGCCGGCCGCCCTCCTCGCCAGCGATGCGCACGATGCAGGCGTTCTCCGGGCCGCCGCAGTCCATGGGGTCCCCGGAGGCGGGGCCGTTGGCAGCCTCGTCGCTGGGGTGACGCCCGCTGTTGCCCTTGTAGTCCACGGAGGCCGTCCTCTTAATGCTCCCAGGGACGGGGCGGGCCGTGCCATCGCCCTGCGGCGACACCAGGCTGCTGAAGCTGGCCGCGCTGATGGAGGTGTTGGTGGGCGAGTCGATGTAGATTTTTATCTGGGGCCGGCTGGCCCCATTGCGGATTCGGTGCCCGATCTCTTTGGCCCGCACCTGGGTCTTATACACGTTGTTGTGCCTGGCCAGCGACTCGGGGAGGAGGCAGACGTTGGCGGTGGCAAAGCAGAAGCTTTTGCCGGGACCCGTGCCCTTCCATTCGCGGAGTAGGGCCCCCCCGCCCGCCGGGCCCTTGTCCTCCAGCCGGGAGTAGACGTAGGGCCTGCGGGCACACTGCAGCGGGCACCAGAAGAGGAAGCCAAGGAACGCGAAGGGCAGCGAGGCGACCAGGAAGCCCAGGTAGATGGGCATGAAGAGCACGAGGCAGAGCAGCTGGTTCTTCTGGCAGGGCGCTGGCGTGAACAAGGCCAGGAGCTGGTCCAGCAGCCAGTAGCATGGGAAGATGAGGTACCAGGACACGGCGTGCAGGGCAGACAGACAGCTATTGGAAAAGGGGGTCGTGTACAAAACCATCGCAGCTCACTGGGTGCCGCGGCCGGCCCTACTACATGGTGTCCGTGGCGACGCAGGCACGTTCCTGGGTGGGGTGGGTGCGTGGGGGGCGGCAGGAGGAGGGGTCACGTCCTGGTAAGATGTGACTTGGGATGGTTGGTGGCCAGTGTTGGCTGGCCGGTCATGGTTCACCTCAGTGGGCCATGCGAGGCCACCGAGGCCTGCTGGAGCGCCTGCGACACAGAGAGAAGAGGGCTTTTGTTAGTTTTTAGGGGAGCAGACTGGGTGCTGGGGCTGTTGGCCCTGTTTATCCCATTCCTGCTTCCTCTGGCATGAGAAGGACCGTTCCCAGGGCCAGACAGGAGCTAGCTGCTCACATAGGGTATGTGTGTTAGGTTTTCTTGGCATAAACAGCTTGGTGACATGACTGTCTCTGGCTGACCAGCTTGATTAAAAAAAAAAAAAAAAAAAAAAAATATATATATATATATATATATATATATATATATATATATATATATATATATTTTTTTTTACAGAGAGGAAGAGAGAGGGATAGAGAGTTAGAAACATTGATGACAGAATCATCGATCAGCTGCCTCTTGCACACCCCCTACTGGGGATGTGCCTGCAACTAAGGTACATGCTCTTGACCGGAATCGAACCTGGGACCCTTGAGTCCGAAGGCTGACGCTCTATCCACTGAGCCAAACCGGTTTTGGCTGACCATCTCGATTTTATAACCTAATTGCTTGAAATCTGGCCCAGGATTTCAGAGGGGCCCAGCTTTGTGGGTGCTGAGTAGGCAGGGTGGGGATCCTGGAGGGTGCCAGGACCTGACACTGGCCCAGAGCAGCTGGGGTGAGCCTGAGGGGAGCCTCACTGAGTGGCCCACAAATCAGAATGAAGAGGGAACAAACCACAGAGAAATGTGACTGGAGTCCTGGGGTGGAGGGCTGTGTGGCTGGCAGGACCCCCGAGAGAAGGCTCCCCCACAGGCAGGATCTCAGCCTTCAGCATCAGAGCACTCTGCATTCCACTCCCGCTGACCCCCAGCAAAAATCCCCACCTGACAGGGTCCAGGCACAGCCTGGACGTTACTAACATCCAGAATGATCAGAGTTCCCAGGTTCCCAGGGACCCTAATGGTCCCTGCAACTTTGGAGAAGATCCCTGAGGCCTTGAGCGTCTGGCCCAAGCTTCTCTTTTAAGCTCCCAAGACACAGCTCCTGGGCCCGGCAGAGGCCCAGAGCTGCCGGAATGAGTCTCCCCTGGTCCCTGTCCCAGAGCTGACTCCAGTGCTCTGCCCGGGGGAGGCTGCCAGGTGCATTTATTGTGCTGAGTGTGACATCTATACAGACAAGAATGTGGGGACCCCCAGTGATCAGGCTGTGCTGAAGCTTGTCGGACCATAACTCAGAGTTTTCATCACTAGATCAGCAGAGGGGGGGCGTGCCCAACTTCTGCCCTGGCTCCACTGGGAGGTGGGATCTGTCCGTATTGCCATCCCTCCTGGCTTCCCCAGGCGGGCTTGTCTGTCCCGAGGGGCACGGTCACATTGAGTGAGGACTCGAGCTTGGTGAGCCCTGGCTGTGAGGGCAGTTCTGGAGGAAGGCTCTGGGAGGAGGAGAGGGTCTGTACTGTCCATGCCGCATCGCCCTGTAAGCACACTGGCCCATGGTCCTCAGATTAGAGGTGAACGTGGCCTCGCTTGTGAAGGCTTCCTGAGTGAAAGTCCCTCTGATCTCCGAGTGGCTCGTCCCCAACGCTGGCGAATCAGGGTTGGTGTTTGGTTTTAGCTGGGACAGGCCTGAGGGTGGAGGGGGGGGTGGTGGTGGTGCAGAAGGTGTGTCTCTCTATTCAGCTGTCCAGTGTCCTCACTCCTGCTCTGGCCCTAGAAACCCTCTGGGCAGGTTCTGCCCCAGCCTTGCCTGTAGTGACAGTAAATGGCCAGGCCTGAGCGCCCTGCCTCCCCTGGGCTGGTCATCGGAGTGTTTGTGGCCCCCACTCAGGTATCATTGGGTTAGGTGGCCCAGGGAGCCATGCCGGCCACCATGGCAGCCCTCTAAGATGAGGCAGATCTGAGCGTCCCAGCCCTTCCCGCCTCCATCCTAACCCTCGGCGGCTGCCCCGGGTCCCCTGCCCAGAGCCCCGCCTCTGCCTGCCGCCCTTCAGCAGTGCCCTGGCCAGAGGGAGCCTCCGGGTGCTGCCCGCCTGCCTTCCCCCCCCCCCCCCCACAGCCCCTGCATGTACCCCGGGCGCTGCTGACGCAGTTGGCACAAAAGGGCTTGCCACCAGCGGAGCTGGTTTCTGAAGCTCTGTGGTTATTTTGTCTCCGTGAAATGAAAGGAGGGCAAACAAACAACAGCGCATTAATTAGGCTGATCTATACTTTCCCCACGAAAGAGGAGAGTGAGCGTTAAATACTGGAGGCTGGCACCCTCTCCGAGAACGCCGGAGTCTTCGCAGGGGTGGCGGGGCAGGACGTGGGCACACAGGCACCCAGCCTGCACCCCTGTCTGGGCCCCTGCTCTTGCCTATGCTCCGTCTCCGTCTTCCTGTCCTCCATGCTTTGGTCCTCTGCGTGCCCGTCCTGGGGCTGCACCGTGGCCGAGGGAAGTCCACCCTGGGTATCGGGTGGGGCTGACAGATCCCTCCATGGCCATGTGTGCTGAGCTGTCACAGCTCCACCCCACAGGCTGGGTTCTTTCAGATTCCTGTTTTATAGCCGACAATGACCCCTAGGTTTATCCCTTGGGGATCCTGGAGTGTGGCTTCCAGGGTTGCTCGGGATGCCCTCAGCCTAACACTTCCGTCTCCAATTCTGGGCTGGGGTCCCAGTGTGGGGGGATATACAGTGCTCACCAGAGGGCAATCTCTCTATAACTGGAAACCCCCAGACGCACCCCTTTCCCCTCGTCCCTGCCCCATTGCTGCACGCTCAGCTTGGGCTCCCATCCACTAAGATGGCTGGCCCTGGTTCCTCCCCCATTCCCCAGCCCTTGTTGCACCTCCCCTGAGGTTGGCCCGGGTGCCCTGTTTACTCTCCAGCCTGTGGATTCAGTAGTTGGAAGGCGGTACCAGCTGGTCTGGGCACGGGTGTGGGGGCAGCCTGAGCCCACCTGCTGAGCTCCCAGGCCCCCGACTGACCCGAAGGGCCTTCCGGTCCTCAGAGATGCTGTCCACCCTGTTTAGGTTGGAGCCCCTGACCATCGCTAACCTGTTCCACTTCCTGCAGCAAGATCTGACCGGGCCGTGGAGCCAGGATGGACGGTGGAAGTGGAGAACACCATAGTTTGCAGATGGACAGGTGGAAGGGGAACTGGCTGAGGGAGGTTTGGGAGCCCAGATGATGCTAAATTTAGAAGGGAGAGGAAAAGTGCTTGGTTTAGGACATGGGCAGGGCCCGGGAGGTCACGGGCCCAGCCGCTCTGGGGCAGGCCTGGGGCAATGACAGCAAGCAGCTCCACACCGTATTGCTCCTGTGGGGCTACTGATGACCTGCAGTGACCTGTCAGCACTGAGACACCTTGTTGCTAACCTGTGGCCTGCAGCCACCAGAGCGTGGGAAGGAGGTTTGTGGACTGTTCAGCAGACTCCCGGGCCCAGCAGCCAGTAGCAATGGCAAAGAAGCTGCTCTAGCATCCCCTGGGGAGGGCATCCTCAGGAAAGGGGCCTGTTTGGGTGTTGACGGAGGGGAAGGTGGGGCCCCAACAGCCTTCGTGGGCAAGCTGCAGTGGACAGGACCTCTGCTCCTATATGCCTAGCATCACTGCACCAAGACAGCGTTCCTTTTCCCATCTCCCTGGGAGATGGGCCTGGCATGCATCCTGGTGCATAGACTTGCTGCAGAGGCCAGAGGGTCCTCGGTGGGTGCTGACTTGAGTTTGAATGTCTTTTGCAGGGGAAAGTGAGCAAACGCTCAGCTCTGCCGGCCCCTCTGACGAAGCCTGCATCATCTTTTGGGATCTCTGAGCCTCGGGGAACTTCTGGGAAGTTGATGAGGGTCAGGAGCTTCCTCGTGTGAGGCTAGGATGGGGCCTGTCCCTCCTTCCTGGCCCTTCCACCTGGTCCTCATGGAGCCTTCCATCGAGCATCAGGGCGGGCAGTCCTGGTGCAGAGGGACCTCCTCCCATCCTCCTTGCATCCACAGGCTCAGGTCTAGCAGGAGCTGGGCCATGCCCGAGGTTTCCGCAGGAAAGGCCGAGAGGATCGCTCCAATCCAATTACTAGAATGTGCTCACATTGGCTGGCAGCCCCGAGATGGGGCCGGCCCATTTCTGCCTGGATGCCTGCAGGGGAGGGGTTGGCATGGCAACGTGAGCTCAGAGCTGCTGAAACTTGAAGTCAAATCGTAGCTGGGAGGACGGAATGACTGAGAGGAGCCTTTCTGAGTGATGGGCATCAGACAAATCCAGGTTAGTCCCTGCAAGCCGCATCCCTGAAGCAGAACTGGGGTGTGGCACGGCATGTGGGCCATAGTGGGATTCCCGCCAACACAGCTGTGGGAGTCAAATGCCTGTCTAGAGCCAAAGCACCCTCCCCTTCCTTGAAGCCCTCCCTCACTTCCCTACCCCTCCTACATACAGTCCCACAGTCCCTCTAATCAGACATGTGTCTGTTTGCACATCAGGACATCCCCCTACCCTCACCCCTACCCCCCAGCCTTGGAGCTTCCAGTGGAGTCTCAGGCACCAACACAGGCCCTAGTCCTCGCCTGCTCCACCTCTCTGGTTGGGCAGGCCCACTTTTGTCAGCCCCACTCCAATCCAAGGGGAGGGCAGTGAGCTACACCAGGCCAATCAGCACCACAGCCCCCTAACCTCAAACTGAATAGTCACATGACCCAAGCTCTCCTTGGACCCCTCAGCATTTTCTCTGAGATGGAAGCACTAAGAACCTGAAGCTTCTGGAGCCTTCCTTGAGAGGGAAAAGCATTAGGGCTGGAAGGAGAGAAGCCAAGTTATGGTGACATCTTTGAACTCCCTGTGCCTGAAGTCTTGTTAACTAGAAAGTCTAGTTAACAAGTCAACACATTACCCTCTTATTGGCTCTAGTCACTTGGAGTTGCTTTTCTGCTACTTTCCACCAAAGGGATCCCGTCTACAAACTCAATTCTTATCAGCTCTACTCCATGAAAACCTCCTGTGGCACAACAAGGCAAAGAGGGGGCCCCTCCTGAGTCCTGGGAGGCCCTTCCACACCCGGTGCCCTGGTTTGTGCTCAGTGAGCA